TTTCCCTTAATATTTTTATACAATCTTCAAATTACCCATATAATCCTAACATTTCTTTCTTCTATTTTTCCCTTTTCACGTTTGACATAACAACTTCAGCACTTTTATCCAAACGCATAACTGCTTATTTTAAAAATAAGTTTCAACACTTTCAAAAGTACTTTTTTAAAGCTGCTTTTATTTAGCCCATCCAAACGGGCCCTTATTCAATATTGAAGAATAAGGACTATATTATCCAAGTTCAAACTTCAGGAAATATTTAGCCCTTTCTCTGTCACTTTAAATGACTTCTAATAATTTTATTTACTTTGTAAAAAATGCATTAATTTGAGTTACTTTATTTGAACAAAAATAATAAGTGACTTTATTAAATAATTTTACCAGATTGAATAACCATACGAAAAATCAAACTCCAATTAGTTAAGCTCATAATTCAATTCATGAGCTATAAGGAGTAACTCAGAGTAAATGTTGAGTTCTTAAAATGAAATACACTTAATCTTTATTGTATTCTAACTCTTTAACTTTCTACTATATAGTATCATAATATGAAATTATAAGATGTAATTAAAGTTTCGTTTGGACATGTAATGAAATTTTTGTGTTATATATTTTCTCATATTCTTAAAAATCTCATAAGTTGTAAAACTATTAAAATAATCAAATTATTTATTAAATCTTATCAAATAAACAAAAATTTATAAAATCGCATAATGAATTATTATAAAGCTATTTGTTTTCCACTTAAATAACTGTTTCATCAAACTTTAATTCAATAATAAAAAATTGAACATAAATTGTAGTGAATTAGACTTTAATATAACCCCCCTCCCCCCTACATAATAAGGACAATCTCTTCACGTTGAATTTACATTATTTTTCTATCATGTGACCGAGAACACAACCAACATTGTTACTTTGAACCATTTTTTGTCAACATCATCAGCAACTATATTTTCATAATCATAGACCATAAATATTTCATTACTCCTTGTCGCAAATAAATATATAATACTGCACAAGCTATGACAATTTTCACTGGTGTGTCAATATCATAATGGTTCATGCAATGTTTCAGTATTTTGAATCTATTTTTCCAAGCTACAAAAATTCATGGGGGCTGTTTTAACAAAATATATAAACTTGTTGATCAATTTTTGTGTTTAAAAAAATCTCAAACCATGATATGAAATTTCCATATAATTTTTCATTTCATAATTTTTGGAGAATATGATATTTCACGAAAATTAGCATGAAATCACATGTCCAAATGTTGATTTCATCTCACAATTTCATAACGTGATATGATATCGCATGATCAAATACCTACATAATAAAAAATGTTTCTTTCTAAAATCAATTAATGCAGTATGAACGATATTATAAATAAATTTGATCGAATAATACATATTGATAAATTTTCATTTCTTGATTACCATTGTGGATGGGGCTGAAATATTTTCTTGTTCCTCAAGTTAATTCGACCTAATTACTGTTTACTAGCCTCTATCCTTGCGAGTCACACTACTTCTACTAGTGAATGTTGACAATGTTATTATTTTATTCATCCTCTCCTTACACTAATTATTAATTTTATTTATCTTGTTTGACAAGATTTTTATTTATATGTAGTTTATTCAAGTGTGTTTTAAAAGACGGTATCGTGATGTGAGACGTTTTATACATATGAAATGAGATTTTAAGTTTTGAGATACAGAATGTAAGTCTTGTGGATCTATAGGGGCATAATTTTATTTATAATTAAATTATTTTATTAGTAAGAAAACAAGCAAAAATAAAACTTTCAATTATTTTACAAAATAAATTATAATAAATAACCTATAATATATATATAAAAAAAAGTATATTATGATTTCTATTCGAGAAAGATATTAATAATCAATAATGAAGAAAAAAATATTACAAATCATTACACTAATAATAATAAAAAAAACATGTTTTAAAGCAAAAATAGCTCCAAAAAAAAATTGCCCAGGGCTTACGTTTTTACGTTTGCACTCCAAATTCTAGACTTACGCACTATGAACTTACGTCTTCAATTTGTGCATAGTGCGTTTTTGTCAAGTCCCACCCGCCTCAAAACTCGCCCAAAAAATGTTTTTGAAAAAGCTAGTGAAATTTCTTCTATCTATATATAAAAATAATAATAATAATAATATTTCTGCCTTGTCGTCTTTCTTTTTCATCATTTTTTTTTATATATATAAAGTTTTATCTTGTGTGTAAGTAAGGGAAATAGAGGTAAAAAAAAAATGTCATGGTATTATATATAACCTTGAGAGATTCAAATTCAACCAAACCAAAATCCAAGAAGAAGAAGAATGAGTTTTCTAGCAGGAAGAGTAGCAGGAAAAGAAGGAGCTTTTTTCTTTGAAGAATCCAAACATGCCGTTACCCGTTTAGCCCAAAAGATCAACAAAAATCCAACTTCTTCTCCTTCCAATTCCACTTCTCTAAATCAAGAATCATCTTCCCCTGATGTTCTTCCTGAGATTCTTCGACATTCTTTACCTTCCAAGATTTTCCATTCTCCTTCCTCTGCAGATTCCTCACTCTCTAATACTTCCAAATGGGTTCTCCCTACTGATCCCAATACGACAAATTCCGTATCTCCAGATGCTCTTAATCCTCTCAGAGCTTATGTTTCTCTTCCACAAGTAACCTTTGGACCTAAAAGGTAACTTTACTGCTCTCTTTGATTGAAAGGGTACTGATTTTTTCTCTTTTCTTTTTGTTGTTTAGCTGAAATATGATTGAATTTTGGATGTTGGGTTTTAGCTAGTTTATGTATTCTAACTGAAGAATGGGTACTGAGTTTTGTTCTTCTTTTAGCTAATTAGGTGATTGAAAAAGATTGAATTTTTGATGTTGGGTTTAGCAAAATTTTAATTTTTGAACATCTTCAAATGGTGTACTAGGTTGTCTTTTTCATTTCTTATCTAAACGTTTCATATTCTTTGGAGTGAAAGAATTGATGGGAGATTACTTAGTTTGGCGAATTTGTGATTACAGATTGAAATTTTGTATGTTGGGGTTAAGTTTTGATGCACTTACAGAAAATGAAAAAGGGATTTATTAACATGACCAGTTTTTAAAATGGTTTGATTATCTTCTGTAATTTTGGTGAGGTGTTACCCTGGATATGTGACTTAAGACTATTTGACAATCAAGTGTGAGTATGGACTATGGTACTGATTTAGCATGGTGTAAGTGAAGGTTTCATCTGTATTAGGCAATGTCAACTCTCTGTGTTGGATAACATTGTGGGATTGTAACTAATATGAAAATGTGCTTTTAATTGCTTCAGCATTCAATAGTTAGTTAGGGTGTATGAAGTAAACCTCTCTATCTTCTTTGATTATATACATCTTCTTTTGACGATCACATTGGTAATATCTTCTCCAGGTGGCAGTTGCCAGATACAGAAAACTCTGTACAAGCCTCAACGGCAAATGACTTGCGTCGCGATAAATACACACCGATTAATCCTGAAAAACTTAAAGCTGCAGCTGTGGGGATGTCTCAAAGTAAGCCAAAACCTTTACATGTTTGGTTCCATTTTGTTAGAATTCCTCTCCCCCAAAACCAAATGTAATTGCTTTTGGATTAGAAAACTCATGTAGAGTTTTCAGAAATCAAATGAAAATATTTTACAGAATTATAAAAATATATCGATAATTAATGTTCTCTCAAGAAATTCGACAAACATACTATAAGTTTTATGTTCTATAGGCTGAGGTATAGTCATTTTAAGCCATACCTACCGTATTATAAAATTCTTGATCTGGAAGTATTTCCAGAAAGTAGTAAATCTGAGAAATTTTACATTCAACACGATATACCTCGGAAACCACCCAAATATGATATTAAGTGATATTGCTTTTGGATCCTTATTGTTTATAGTTCTGTTCAATGTAGTTGCAAAGGCATTTGCTATTGCCACTGCTCTTGTCTTAGGTGGTTCCGCCTTGACGTTTGGCTTGGCAGCATCCAAGCTAGAGTTGCACAATGTAAGCATAATCTTTCTTTCTCTTTTGATTTACCTTATGGATGTTTGAATCTCTACTGCTAAACTTAATTTCCGCTAAACATTACAATGAGGTAAGATCACATATGGGAGTAACACTCAATCCTTTGCTTTTGAGATGGAAGAGTACCTGATATCAATGGAGGATGGTGATATTATGATTTTTTTTTTTGGTTAGTGGGTTGACACGCAAGAAGAGGAATTTTGACGTCTACATAACTACATTTCTGCTTTAGTCGTGTTCAGTTGAGGAATTTGTCTGTTTGATTTTAGTTTATAGACAGTTTTAGTTAGATAAAGAGTGTTGCTTAGTTATCCACTGTTCTATGCTTCTGATTTATGTAATATGTGGATGATGCTGATGTTGCGCAGCCTGATGATATCCGGACGAAAGGGAAGGACATGGTTCAGCCAAGATTGGAAACATTCAAAGAACAGCTGAATCCTTTAAGGATTTGGGTAAGCAAATGTTCAACTATTCTTCAATATTTGCTTCTATCGTTATCTAATGAATGGTAGCCTCTATTCTCAGGCTGAAGAGAAGTCGAAAAAATGGCATTTGGAGAAAAAAGAACACATTAAAGAGAAGCCTTTGATAAAAGAGCTCTCTAAAATATTAGGTGCCAAGTCGTCAAACTAATGTCGATGCAGTTTATTGCAGATAGCTATGCATTCATCAGAATATTTTGTTTTCTTCTCTCTCACTGTGTAATTTTGAATAATATGATCTGTCAGCAGTTAGTATTTTCTATGTATCCTGCAGTACTACATTTTCTCTGTAAATTGCTGTGTTTTCTATGACGAATAAAAAAACATTTGATGAACATGTAACTAGAATACACATGTTTACAATAATTGATCATCTTTGGTTCAGATTCATAGAGCATAATCATCTGGGAAACCAAAAGTTATATGGCATTGTGAAAGCAAGAACATGAATACTCAAAAGCAAAAAGTTGCCCAATTAGCATAAATAACTTCATTTTCAGCAGCGGAAGTCTCTCAATCTTCCATTAACCACATACAAGGATTGTAGCAAGGGACATTTATCAAGAGATCACTATTGATCAACGAGTTCCCAGGAAAATTTAAGCGAATTAGTACAGTACAAATATGATTCTTGATCAGGGCTTTCTTCCTTTCAAGGAAGAGATAAGGTTTGTGTACTCCTGGGATTACACACTGGGTATGTTGTTGTAATATGATTCTCGATCAGGCTTCTCTTCCTTTTAAGGAAGAGGTAAGGTATGTGTACTTGTGGGGTTACACTGGATATGTTGTTGTAATATGATTCTCGATCAGGCTTCTCTTCCTTTTAAGGAAGAGGTAAGATATGCGTACTTCTGGGGTTACACTGGGTAAGTTGTTGTAATATGATTCTTGATCAGGAGATCCTAACCACAGATATATTGCAACTCAAGATGAGGCAAAGTTCTTATTCATCAATATGATTCTTGATCAGCTTTTACAGGCTTGTCATCATACATCCAGCTTCACATGTAATCCAATATATAGAAACAGGCACCTAACGGGGGCAGGGGCAGATACAGGAAGAGGAGAGTTATAAAATCAAAATAGAAATAGGCACCTAAATTTGCAATGTTCCCAATATTTGTATAAATTAAGATTCATCTTTTGGTAGACTCATTAAGATTCATGTTTTGGTAGACTCTGCAATATTCAGTTATAACTCATGCATGAGGCCACACAAATTGCATTCAGTAGACACAACCCAGTCTAGTGCACAAACTTTTATAAATAGCAAGTTGTCACATTAAATAGAGAAGGTTTCTGGCTTTTACAAAAAGGATAGTGATCTCCCAGTGCTATACAATAAGATAACACATACAACAATGCCAGTGCTACTATGCAAGAAAATGTGTACCTCCTCATACTGCATCAAGGTCAGCTATTTATCTCTTCCTGCGCTTTGACTCCACCTGGCAACAGGAATAGTGGCAGTTTAGCTAAAATGCTTGTCAGTTACAGATAACTTACAGTCAAGAGTACAAAAGAGAGCTTAAATTAATGGGATAGCAGTATCATGAAGCAATCACCTTCAGGAACCCCCCACAGCTTTGGTTCAATAAAGGTACGTACATTGCAGGTCACGAGCTCAAATTCAGGCTTACAGTGAGAAGGTCCTTTGTTTTTGTTAAGTCAAAGAATACAGTGGAGAGGCACCTTTATCCACCGATATTCAAAGCTGGAAACAGAGAATTTTCTCGGTTTACAAATATAAAACAATGTGATCCCCTTCATGACACACAGAAAGATGTGAAGGGATACATATGCGGCCTTTTAAATCTCCTATCTATTCATTAGAAGAGAATTTCAATAAATAGCTCAACATATGACTATTCAGCCACTCATGCGCAACTTATCTCTCCCCCTCAAACCATATCAACTACTTCTAACTCTCGTTCGCCCATAACACCACAACTACAACCCATTCTGTCAATTTATCAAACATTCACGCCATTTAGTTTTCCTATTAACAACCACCCCCCACTTCTCTTACAAAAATGTCGCTGCATAATCTACTCTTCTTCCCACTGAATTCTTGCATGAAATACCATGGCAGAGAGAAAATATCGACACCAATTACCTCAAAACACAATATCTTGACAAACAGAAGTCTCATAGATATAGCAAAGGATCTAAATCCAAAACCAACTTCGACAAGCATTGGTGCACGATCTCCGTGCCAAACAGGGTTAAAGGGGTCTGGCCCACGTGTTCTGCATGTGATCATGATTACTTTTCTCCAAAAATTATTGACATACAAATTTCCTTAGGTCTTTCATCTATAAAAGAATGGGTAGTCCTTTCACTTGAGAACAAGTATAGGATTTCTGCTTAGCTCCTCTTATACAAAAGCCTACATTGTTAACTTACCTTCAAAAATTATCAAAGCCTACATGGTTTTATGTGAGGAAAATTTTAAGTTTAAGAAATGAAAGTAATATGCAACGGTCTAGACAGCACAGAAAATTAGAACAATATGTAGGAATTCATCTTTGATATTTAACCTTAGCAACAATAGTTTGTTGTATCTTTTATAAAGACCTTCACAATAATTTACATCATCTTCAAAGGATAAAAAGGAAGGTGACACCCAAGAGGCTATCTGAACTCCTTTATATCTCAAATATATTATCCCACACATTCTAAAAGAATTAGATGAAGTACTCACGAGCTATATGGAAAACCAAATGACCTGACATCATATTAAAGTAAGAAAGTGGAGTTCTGCACCTTAGCAGTGGACATATGGTTAGTGAAGCAACAATTACAGAATACTCCCAGATTATTTTAACATGTAATTGTTCAACTTTTGCTTTCGAATTGCTCCAAATATGTCATTTTTTCCTAAATGAATAACTTCGTTCCAACCTTATTAAATGTGTCTCCAATACCTTCAACACTAAATGACAAAAATCCAAATACTAAGAGTATCAAGCAACTATTATAATGTGAGCATTTTCAGTCACAAGCTTGGATAAAGAAGGATTGAGGTAGCTTCATGACCAGCCGAACAATAGTCTAGCTATGATAATCCTCTATATTGAAGTTAATGAACTAAGTTTTTGGACTCTTCAGTTTCAATGCCACACCCGTGTCGGATTCTTAAAAATACTACTTTTGGAGAATCCAACATGCACCTATTGACATTTTTGAAAAGTCTGAGCAACATAGGTAATGATCCTATAGCGACTAGTTTTCTTTATGTTGGTAAAAAGACTCTTAACCTACTGAGATTCCACTCAACTAATGTCATCTGTTCCCAGTGAAAGTAGTTCCAAACTCGACTGAAGCCAATGTAAGAGTGAGTAATTCGAGTTCTCCTACTAGGTAAATATGAAGACCGTATCTGAAGAAAGATACAGTTCAGCAGGGACTTAAATCATATTTTCCAAGCTGACTTATAGTCCTATAACTTCCAACATTCTCCATCCCCAGGTCATCCATGCTTTGCACTTTTGTATGCTTTCCCTTGTGGAACCTCAGAGAGATTGAAACAAGCTTAACTTTGTCATTAGTCATTGATTATATCAGTAGCCCAGTACATCAATTTACATCAGATGAGCAGGTAACATCATGACTTTGGAGATACCCTTCCACTAGCCTGCCTTTCTCCTTCCCTTAGGGGTCGTTGGGATAAGTTATACCAAACATGTCAACCAAACAAAACACCAAACTTTTATCCCAGGACTATTTTTTTAATCCCAAGACTATATATTCTTATCCCTCACATCAAACGACCCCTTATGGTTAGAATCTGATATATTAGATATAACCAAACTAAACATGCACCACTTTCAGAAGCGCGACCTTCTCCTTCCATAATGATCCTAAATGTCACGCTACACATGAGAACATAGTGCAAAAAGTTCACCCTTTCTATCACAAACAACAACAGTCTGTTGACTAACTTGAGATACAATACTTGCAGATATTACTAATAATATCATGTAAAAGTTTACCAGGTGAGTGTACAGAGTTTTTACCTTTGCTTCATCAGGTGGTGAAACATGAAATGAGTTCAAAGGACGTTTGGTTTCATCTTCTGAGGAACAGTCAGAACACAAGAAATGCTCTAATGTCTTTGCTTCATCAATGGACATACCCATACAAGAGGGATGAAACCTGCAATAGAATTGCAGGATAAATGAAAAGATTTTTTATAGATACGGTTATCAACTAATCGTAATTTAGAAAATTAGGGTAAACTAAAAACTCCATGACTCAGGTTTCCTGATTAAAGATGCTGAAGAGTGTAGCCATTTTACCCAAATTCAATGGAGACAATTACAGACACGGGAAGATTTTACATTTCTTAATGCATACTTTAGACTTATGAAGACTCTTCCTTCTTAAGTTATATACCAAGATAGGTACTTTTGTACTTCTAATAAAAGTTTCCAGTTCTCATCACAGATTTCATTCTAAAGAAACTTAGTTTATCAACCAACGTTGAGATAATAGCTTGATATGGGATGTAAGTAATTGGACATATAACTAAAAATCATAGATGAACCTTTATTATCCCTGGTTGACATAGTAATATAATGTGGATAGTGGACACTAAAAAGGCAGGACAACTTAATAATCCACTTTAAGAAGATAAACTCTGCATGGATGAACTAATTAAACTTGCTGCATTTGCTGATAAAAAAGAGAAGCGGGAAACATGACACAATTCATTTGTTGCCTTTTCAAGCTATGTGCCCTTTGAAGTTGACTGAACATTAATTTGTCCTTACATCACGCTTGATCTAAACTGAAAGTAATTACACATTTGAAGATATCCATTTGTTTTAACTAAAACATTAAATGGATAGACACTTGTGAATTTCCATGCATAGAAGTAGAAAAGGCATGCAAATGCGTAAAGAAGATGAATTTGTGGACATTTGGAGGCATACCAGTCTTTGCATCCTTCACATTGTACCATGAGATCATCAGGGTTGTAGGGCATCTCACACTTACAATACCTTCAAAATCAAAACATCCCAAAGTATCCAGGTTTTAGTAAACACTACAAAACATAACTTTCAACTTCCACTGAGAAAAGGATGAAGTAGCATCGAGTTAAGCAGCAAAGCTATTAGAAACTCACACAGCAACACGGTCAGGAGTAAACCCCCCTGTGGCAGCTTTGTACTCGAACCTGCTAAAATAATCCTCAGGGGCCACATTCTCCAATTTGGTGTAGTTCTTAAAAGAGTGCACTATGCACTTCCCTTCGATGGTGTGTGCACTCTGCACATCAAAGTGATCTGACAAGAACAGCTCTTTGGCCCCATGGAACTGTCTGCGACCACCAATAGACTCCTCAGGTCGGTAATACCATCTAACTCTGACCTTCACATTATTCCGGTGATCAGCCTCTAGCTTCTCTACTTTTGCCACGTATGGAGGTTTATCAGAATCAGATGGTCTCATCAATACACAATCACCAGCTGAGACAGAAAATTCAAAAGATATATTCTTCAGCTAGTGACCTCCAACAATTCAACACTTAAACAATTCAAATGCTGCTGGCAAAGAGAACCTAACAGCCCAAAGCTCATCAAAGTCCTTTAGAACCACAATACAAGAAATGTACTTGCTAACTTTTTTTTTTTTTATTGTTTGAGTGAATTAGGACATCTACACAAAAATTGTAGAAACATTAGAGCAAAAGTTAAAGAATCACCAAATAATATAGGAAGACAAAACCCAATGAGCTATACAAATGATGGTACTCTAATAGACAACCAATAATACAAATCATAGAAGGAAAAAAAGGAGTAGTACTTCAATGAGCCAAAATAAACAGCTAGTAACACCAAAAAGATACCATCTTTATCCTACAAACACACAACAAAATAATTACCAAAACCAAAATTGATCAAATAAAGAAATGAAATAAACACAAGTACAATCATAGAAGCAAAAAGAGCTGTATTACGTCTAACAACTTTGTTGGTGCCCTTGATACTGTAAGAATCAAGGTCTTTCTTTCCAGGTTTAGTCTTAGCCATCAATCTTTAAACTCAGTCCTTCAAGAATGGTAAACAAAACCCAGAAATTTCTATTGGTTCACAAGAAAGACTCAATCTTTAAGCTCAATCTTAAAGAATGAAAAAAAAAAAAAAAACCAGAAACTTCTATTGGTTTACAAGAAAGACTCAATCTTTTCTGTCTCCACTTTTTTTAAGAAAATGTTAAATAAAACCATGTGGTGATGACAACAGTAAAAACAGGAAATGGGTAAGAATTGGACAACTCTAACTCCCTCAGTAAAAGAAAAGGGGCAAAAACCCTAGTTGCTGGAAAATGGGGGGCTGAGAGTGGAGCAAGGTAGGGGGAGGGGTCCTATTGAAGGAGCTTATCAAATTTCACCCCTATTTTTCACTTCAAAATTTATTTAAAGCAACTTTCGCATATAGTTTGTATAACTTCATATTTATACAATTTCGATCCATGTCATTTGTATAAATCATTAGTAGTATTTTGTTTATATAAATTTTTTACAGTTTCTCAATTTAATTTTATATGTTTATATATCTGTATAAAATTTAAATTTGTATATAATTAAGTGGAAATAATATCAAATTTCTCTTTCGTTTATAATTATATAATTTGTGTTTGTATAAAGCGACAATAAGAGAAAGATAAAATATAAATGGCAGGAGAAGATTTGTATTTGATAATTATAAGTATATAGAATAAAAATATTTGTATTTGTATATACAGTTTTCTCTCATTTTATACATTTGTGTTTATATAAAAGTGAGATAGGCGAAGGAGAGACTGACGAGAATGGCGAGCAAGAAACCTAGGGAGAGAGGCGAATGACAATTGTTTGGTACAGATTACAATTAAATCAAACTATGGTTATAACATTTAATTTAAATTAATAATTTGCTATTATATACAATTTTTTCTTATGTTCACTTTATCTCTAATCATCATTCATTATTATTGTATATTATCACTGCTAATCATCATTAATCACTCTGCGTTATCATAATTTGTGTCGGTAGCCATCATTATTGTCAATTATATTATCAATCGTTATCATATTTATCACCTCAATTATTGTAATTATATCATTATCGTCTCTATTACCATCGGTACCTCCACCCACCTTTATCTACTACCATTATTACTACATCTAAATTCTATTGTTAATCATTTTCACCATCAAAACTAGCACTGTCGTCGATTACCATCAACAAAATCAACAATCATCACACATTATTCAACCAACTTTGTCATCGTCACATCAGCCACTATAACATCAGCCACATTTAATATCTCAACTATTATTAAAATATTATTAGACAGTAGACACTAACACTAATATCATTACTTACTACAAATTATCTACCATTACTAATGGACATAAATATTTTAATTTTTTATTATTATGTTAAAAAAAATAAGTAATCTTAATTATCAAGTGTCTAGATATTAGAGACGACATCATACTCACTCAAACGATTCATTCAAAATAATTTTTAAACTTAAAAAATAAACATTAGTAAAGATTATTAGTATTTAGTATAATAGACGAAATAAAAACATACTAATATAAATTTAAAGTTTTTTTATATATATTAGTGCTTATCATTCGAACAATATTTTCCGTCAATGGACAAGACAATCATAAATGTAATGCTAATAAATTTATAATATGATCATTGATAAAAAAAACTTTTTTCCTCTTCACTTAAAATGAACTTTCTTGATGACATTAGTATAAATTATTATTGTTCACTATGAAAGAAGACGATTAGAGAGAAAAATTTATAGTTTGATCATTTATTTCAAATCATATTATAAAAATTCTCTCTTCTAAATATATTATGTTAAAAGAGGGGGGGGGGGGGAAACGCTTAAATAGAAAATTTATCTTCATTAATAGTATTATAAAACATGTAACATACAATATAGGATGATCTTTAAAATGATATTTGTAGACATACTATAAATTTAAGTTTCCATTTCAAAGGTTACTTTTCTTTTTTAAAAGAAGACAATTAAAATTTCATGGACTAAACAAATAATAAACATGACAGTAAAGGGTAGTCTATATAAGTATGAGTTTGATGAGTTATTGTATTTAAAATAAAATATTTTGGAGAAGTGGGTTTTGAGTTTGAAATATAAGGAGTGACTACAAATTTAATGGAAAATTATCATTTTTGCAAAATAAATTTGTTAGATTTGTTGATATTTTTACAAGTTAATGATTGAAGTTTATATATAAAATTCATGTTTGAAATTTAAACTTTATTTTGAGTAATTTTTTAGTGTTGAATTATTACTATGAGTGTCAATCATAGTAATATGATTATAGGATACATATATCATAGGATTTATTCACTCAATTGAGCAGTTATATATGTAACAATCACTTTCACTAAAATATATTATTTATGAAAAACTTTTTATAAAAATAATTAATCTAAAAGAACAAACTTATATTAAAATATTCAGATTGTATTGAATGTATAAGGCGATATTTAATACGTTTTTTAAGAATATAATCATTAAAAGTCTTTCAAATTGATCATCTAGGGTCTGCCCACTATTCTCTTTAATAATTGATGATATTTGTGCTCATAAAAGAACAAACTTATATTAAAATATTTAGAGAAATAATAGAACGTGTAAGACGATATTTAATACGTTTTGTAAAAATAAAAAGGGAAATTTATATAAATATATTACAATAAAAAAATATTTATCATTTATAGCGATAACATTTTTTTTTCACTTGATTATTTTTAATTTACTTATAATGCAAGTTTAATCTATATTACAAAGATAAATTTATTATTCAAATATAATATAAGTTTTAATGATGGATGATACATTTATCACACATTTTAATACACTTATAATACAATGTGATAATTTTTTACCAAACAAACATAATATATTTCAAAAACAATTATAATTCAAATATATATATTGCATACATAATTCGTTTTTAATACATATTACAGATTTATCACAATATTGCTGTAAATAGTAATAAATAAAAAATATCGCTAAAATCAGAAACTATTTTTTAAAATGTATTTGTTGATGTAATTTTTCCAAATAAAATTACTTCATTGCTTAGTTCAATTAAAAATTTAGCCCATTACTATAAAATCAGCTTGTTCAATATATAGCAAAAGCAAATAATAAGGTATAACTTAATCAGTTCAACTCAAATCCTTCTATATTAGTTAACTTATTTTTACAATATGTAATTTGTCGTAAATTACATTTACGTTGGACGTATATTATTATTGATCAAATAGATCTTTTTTTTACAAAATGAGCATGTAGTGCAGATAATTTAGAAAACAAACTCAATAACTTATAGTAGAATATCTGAAATTTATCTACTATGCATATACTTGTAAAATATTGGTGAAATTCATAACTCAACTGACTCATCTTTGAACCCTTGAGCATACTTCACACAAAATGTTTCAAAGGTAGACAAAATTTTTTAACTCCGTGTACATACGAAGTTGGACTTAAATTTTCGTTTAACATCAAAAATAAATTTAATGTGAGCATCAAAAATAAATAACCGTACACTTTATTTTAATTTAATTCGTAATTTTTACAACGCATTCGACACCTTCAGAATTAACTAGATATAATTAATATGTTGGGATAAATTCTTCAATATTGATATTGAACTAGAATTAAAAAGTAGTAAATAGTGTTTATCACAAACAATGCCTCGTGACAAGCCACTGCCTTTGAAAGCGATTTTACTTACTTAAGTATTGATATTGGACTAGAATTAAAAAGTAGAGAATCACTTATCACAAGCAATGTGTCGTGGCAATCCACTGCCTTGAAAGCAATTTCGACTAGATTTCGGTGCAAATCATGGTAACCGATCGCTCCCCAAGGTTTCACTATTACTCTCAAATATGTACACCCGTAGCTGAAAGTTTGAAGGTTGCCCGAAATTAATTACCCAAAAAACCTCTAAGAATAAGAAGAAAGGAGGAAAATGTTTTCTTTTCCTTTTTGTTGGTTGTGTCTTCATGTTCACAATAAGTCATGTTTATATCAGCTTTGCAAAAGAGAAGTTTCAAAGTGAAGTGTTAATTTGTATAACGTATTGTGAATGTTAATGGCATTAAAGACCATTACATTACATTTCACAAAAACTCTCTTTTTTGTTTACAAAAATGTTATTATCTTTGTAACGTAGTTTACAAAGAATAGAAATATTATTTTTAGCATTACACAAAATAAATAAACATGTAATTAATTTCACATAACACTTTTATATTAATGTAAGTTTGAAAAAATGATTAGTGTGATGGTGGCTTTGAAAGCTAATGGTCATGTACTTTATATCTATGGTAGTCTAATTCGTAGTAGTCTTGAAAAGGTCATGATAGTTAAAACGTTAACAATTTGAAACGTAATTTAAATCACGACAATAATGTGATATTATATAAATTTTGTCAAACTCATCGATAATGACTCAAATCCTAAATAGGAAAATAACTTCTTAAAATGCAACTAATATTTGAGTATATGTGACATTTCAAACTTTCCCCCTAATGATATAGCTTTTATATATATAGTAATGAGAAATAGTATCTCGTTAGACAACCACTATGTTTATATCCTTTCTTTCTCATACAAAGTGCGTATACACTTAACAAAACCATTTTTTCTTTGAACAGTAAAGAGAGAACCAAATAAAAAACGGGTCCGGCCCTCCTCAGTATCACCTAGGAAGAGGCCATTGATTGGAATAGAAAATTTAGTAAGAATTAGGTTCGAATAAATTTCCTGGGATCCTTTTCCTTTCGAACTACAAACATGGGAATCGTTGAAATAGCTCTTTGATTGAAAGAAGCTGATTCCTATAATACATTACTCCAGTCGAGTCCAATGGAATTTCAAAATGAAGATATTTTGATTTTGTTCCAAACGTGTTGCAGAACCATCTAGAATCAATTTATGCCCAAAGTTTTAGAACACACTTTATACTATACTAAGGTTCCATTATCTTTTGAACTTATTTTATAAATAAATTTCTATTTTTTTTCGATCTATGTGGCAGTAGCTTGAAAAAAATGTCAACACGAGCTGAGCCAAAAGATAATGTCACGTAGATCAAAAAAGGGTAAAAAATTATTTATAGTGGGATAATAGGACATTAATATAGTATAACTGTGTATCTGAAAATTGAGCATAGATTGGGGATACTTTTACATTTTCCCTATAGTAATAGGCGTGTTTATACCTATAATCATAGGTTAACTATGTGTTCTTTATCACTACTTTATGAATTTTCTTTGACGTGATTTTTTTTTAATTTGAATTATTTGAAATACTATGAGATGATGGGTTACACAAGTTTAGACAATTGTTTATCAAAAA